CGTGGGCCGTTACAAGCCGTGCCACCCTCCCCGGTGGAAATTTTGGGGGTTGGCCTAGCACAGCCCACGGCCCAAGCCCAGGCTGGCCCGTGCTGTGCTGTGGGTCTGGCCGTGGGCTTGGGTCGTGTCGGGCTGGGCCTAGGCCGAATCGGGCTAGATTGAATAGATTATGGATATAAGGACATGATACGAATAATAACGAATTTACGATTACCCAAAGAATAAATAAATAAAAGTATAAAACAATTCAAATAGGAATTTGAGAATTTTATTTCATTTAAATATGAATGAATGATGATACAAATTACAAAACATACAATTATACAATGGTTGGATACTTCATAAATCATACTTCATACTTGGATGAATAAAATATGAAAATGGAATAAATTAATAAAATATAAAAAATACAATATAGAATAATAGACTATATAGTTACAAATTGAAAATACAAAATTACATTAATAGCAAATAAATTAAATAAAATTAAAACAAAATTTACAATAATTTGACAAAATAAAAAATTGTGGGTTATTTGTTAAAACTTACAATTTAAACAAAATTTACATATACATTACGATGAAAGCATTCACACACTTTCATCATCTACTTCAGGTAAAAAATGAAATATCCGGTGTATGTAGTAGTATCATGCCCTCCTTGTCTTGTAATTATAAAGTTGTAATCTATATTCAGCATTTCTACATCATGGTTCATGATTGCATCTAGCCAACCCTGGTACAGTGGTAGTGTGGTACCTGTAGGACCTGCACTAAAACAACTAAATAAGACTCTGATGGAATTGTAGCCTGTAGACACCGAAGGGGTTATTAGATCATGGATCGCGTGCCATGGCGGGATTGGCGGCGAGAAATGTTCTCCGAGACTCCGACTTCTCCCAATATTTTGAAAATTTATTTTTCATTATTTCAAAAATTCATTTAAATGATGGGCTATTTCTTCTTCCTTCTCATGTGTGAGAAAATGTCTAGTCAAATGGCTAGTAGTACCCTTGCTACAATAGCTAAAGTTTTTTCTACATTTTTGGCAAACTGTTCTTTTCCCCTTCCCCTCAACATCTTCTATTTTAAATATTCTCCGAATCGAGCTACTAAACTTAGGGTTTTGGGAAGAGCTAGCCATTTTTTTTCAAATTTTAAAAAAATAAAATTAATTGAATTGGACTTACCTCGGATTGCTAGTTCAGAATCCCAACTTGATTTCAACGGTTAAAGCCTTTCAACATGACAACCAGCTAATCAGACTATGAAACTATCAGAGTTCACTCAGATTGCAGAGAATGTATGAGAGACTGAGAGTCTGAGAAACAGAGAGAGGAAAGACTGAAGAGATTAAGATAATAACTTAATAAGAGAATTGTTGAATGTTGATTATTAAATTGGTGGGATGAGAATGGTGAAGGATAGGGCTATTTATAGGAATTGAACATAATTCAATTGCCCAAAAAACTAGTCGTTATTTAGTTGTTGGGAGGAGTATTTTGGTCATTGTAAATTTATTTATAATTTTACCCAAAAAGCCCCTCTAAACTATTTGTTATATAGCTGTTGGGGGAGCATTTATGTTATTTTTTATCCCCCCATAAGTAAAATACACAAATACCCCCCTAATATGACTGTTTATAACTGTTGCGGGGGTATTTTTGTAAAACCCCCCAAAAGCTTAAACTAGCCATTGGGCCTCAATGGCTATATTCCGAGGGGGCCACGCTCGGCCCGTGAGGGGCCGTGCTACAAGCTGGGCCATGCCAGCACGCGAGCCGTGGGCGACACGACACGAGTTGTCGTGCCGTGCCGTGCTGGCCCATGGACCTCGAACCCCCAGCCCAACACAACATGAACCTTTGTGCCAGGCCTGGCACGGCCCGTGGGCCTTCGTGCCGGGTCGGTCTAAAATCGTGGCCGTCCTACGGGCGGCTCGATCCGATTTACACCTTTACAAAATAGGTAAGCTTGACTGAGCATTTATTTCTTTGAATAATCTTTACCTTTTTTGTGAAAACCTCTGTTAAATTCCAAGCATTGTAGCTGGACGAGTTTCATATCTATCTCCCTCCATTTTCTCTATAAATAGAGGCCCAGGTGGAGGGGGCAATTTCCCAACTTCGGTGATACACCCATTCTGCTTGTAATCCCGAAATCCTTGAAGTTAAGCTCAAGCCTCATCCCCTATCTTCCAAACTTAATACCATAAACACTCAGCCCAACCCCTGCCTTGCTCAAGTTTCATTTAAAAACCTCTTAGCTGCTGGAAAACTTTTGACAAGGTACATACGAAAGGTAAGTCTTTTAGTTTTTCTAAGTTGCTTGAGGTTCTGAAATGTTGGGAAACCATTGTTTGTAATTTCTTCTTGACTGAGAATAGAGACAAATAGGCAAGGGTCTTAGGGAAATAAGTACCTAAGACCCGATAACATCACCTCAAAGTCAGTTTTAGGAGAAGTTGAAAACATGTTCTTCTAGATTTAAGAAATTATTGCAACCATTTTTGTTTTGCTCTGAAAAAAACAAAGCCTGAAAAACTCCCATATTGGGCTGCTACATCAGCCTAGAGAGAGGGGTGCCTAATACCTTCCTTCTCCCAAACCTTGGGACCTAAAATCTCTCAGTTATGTGCTTTTTCCATGGAAAACAGTCACTATCAAAAACTTAAATCGAGTTTTTCAAATATAAAAATGATGGCCCATTTCCTCTAAAAAATGGGTGGCGACTCCATCTCTTTGAGCCGACCATGAGCTTCCTGGAGCTCACAATGGGCCTTAGGCCCATTTCCTTCAAAGGATCACAACCCAAGATATTGC